ACATTCTGAGGTGGAGGGAAAACAAGAGAAAATGCTTTGCTAGCAGATCTACCATAAAAAGAAGGCTAAAGGAAATTCTCTAAACAAGAAAGACATGACAAAACAAAGAACACAGGAATGTCAGAAGTGAAGAAAATAAACAAATGAATCGGTAAATGCAACAGACAACCATATTATAAATGTACAATTACATTGTAAGCAGGGGAGGGCAGACAGTAAAAGTAGATGAGATTTCTGTACTTTGTACTGGCAAAATGATGGCATGAGCACACTGTGATGGCAATTTAATAATGTATATGTAATGGAATAATGGAATTGACTACTGAAGTAGCAAGGCAAAGAGATACATTCAAAAACCCTATAGATAAATCAAAATAAAATTCTAAAACTACTTCAGTAAGGCAGAAAAAATCAACAAAATGAAAACAGAACAAAAAGAAAACAAAAAATAAAATGGCAGATTTAAGTTCTAACAGCAGTAATTACATTTACTGCAAATGGTCTTAATACATCAGGTACAGGACAGGGATTGACAGATTTCATGAACGTGGGCAAACTATATGCAATGTATGGAAAACTCACTTCAAGTATAATTTTAAAATCTCAACACATTAAAAATAATTGAAAGCATACGGAGTGTGCACTATGATGACAATGGAATCAAAGTAGAAATCAGTAACAAAAATACAATAGATTTCCTAACAACTAAAAACCAACAACACATTTTCATACAGTTCACGGACAAAAAATAAGTCTAAAATGATTGAATTGAGTAAAAATGAAAATACAATTTGTCAGTGGTTGTGAGTCACAGCTGAAGCAGTATTGGGGAGGAAATTTATGTCACTAAATGTATACATTTTGAAGAGAAGAAAGAGTCTTGATCTAGTCTCCTTCCAAAAACCTAGAAAAAGAAGAGCAAAGTCAACTGAATTCAAGCAGAAAGATGGAAGTAATAAAAACAAGAACACAGATCAATAAAATTGAAAACAGAAAATCATTAAAGAATATTAGGGAAACAGTAACTAATTCTTCTTAAAGATTTTAGAAAAACTCTAGCAAGATTAATAAGTTCGTTTTCATGCTGCTGATAAAGACATAATCAAAACTGGGAACAAAAAGAGGTTTAATTGCACTTACAGTTCCACATTGGCTGGGGAAGTCTCAGAATTATAGCAGGAGGTGAAAGGTACTTCTTAAATGGCAGTGGCAAGAGGAAAGTGCGGAAGAAGCAAAAGCAAAAACCCTTGATAAACCCATCAGATCTCATGAGACTTATTCACTATCATGAGAATAGCACAGGAAATATGGGCCCCATGATTCAGTTACCTGCGCCTGGGCCCCTCCCACAACACATAGGAATTCTGGGAGATACAATTCAAGTTGAGATTTGGGTGGGGACACAGCCAAACCACATTATTCTGCCCATGGCCCCTCTAAATCTCACGTACTCACATTTCAAAACCAATCATGCCTTCCCAACAGTCGCTTAAACTCTTAACTCATTTCAGCATTACCCCAAAAGTCCATAGTCCAAAGTCTCATCTGAGACAAGGCAAGTCCCTTCTGCCTATGAGGCTGTAAAATCAAAAACAAGCTGGTTACTTCCTAGATACAGTGGGGGGTACAGGTATTGGTCAAATACAGCCATTTCAAATGGGAGAAACTGGCCAAAACAAACGGATTACAGGCCCCACACAAGTCTGAAATCCAGCAGTGCTGTGCAATTTTAAAGCACCAAAATGATTTCTGTTGACTCCAGGTCTCACATCCAGGTCACACTGATGAAAAAGTTGGGTTCCCATGGTATTGGGCAGCTCTGCCTCTGTGGCTTTGTAGGGTACAGTATGCCTCCAGGCTACTTTCACAGGGTAGTGTTGTCTGCCTGCAGCTTTTCCAGGCGCACAGTGCAAGCTGTCAGTGTAGGGACACCATTCTGGGGTGTAGGGGCAGTGGTCTTCTCACAGCTCCACTAGGCAGTTCCCTAGTAGGAACTCTGTGTGGGGGCTCCAACTCCACATTTTCCTTTCACACTTCCCCAGCAGAGGTTCTCCTTGAGGGCCCCAACCCTCCAGCAAACTTTTGCCTGAGCATCCAGGCATTTCCATACATCTTCTGAAATCTAAGCAGAGGTTCCCAAATCTCAATTCTTCTTTTCTGTGTACCCACAGGCTCAACACCATGTGGAAGCTGCCAATGCCTGGGGCTTCCACCCTCTGAACCCACAGACCAAGCTCTATGTTAGCTATGTTAGTCCCTTTCAGCCATGGCTGTAGTGGCTAGGACATAGGGCACCAAATCCGTAGGCTGCACACAGCATGGGAACCCTGGGCCCAGCCCGCAAAACCACTTCTTTCAAAGCTTTAAAAGTTTTGCTCCACTTTCTTCTTGTTGGTCTTATTTCTGAAGAGAAGTCTGGTATAATTCCAATCCTCACTAAGGTGTTCTCCCCATCCCTTAGCTTCTTCCAAGACAAAAAGAAGAATTGCTGATATCAGCTTTTTCATCTTTTTTCTGGTTGTGAGGATGGGGCTGATGACTTCTAAGCTCTTTATATGTCAAACTGGAACAGGAAGTCCCTTCAATTTAAGATGAATGCCGAATGTCATGCTATTCCGTATTGTAATTGTTAGTTTAACAACCTGTGAAATTCACATGCTTTCAAATGCCTACTGGTTGTCTATATCTTTATTTCTGTTCTTAGGGATTATTATTTCACATACGCTATCAAAATGAAATTTTTCTTTCATCCATGAATATACATTGCCTGCTCATAACTTAGTTTTGGATTTTGTATTCAAGAATTATACTTGCTTCGTTTTTCATTTTTCATTTCCAGTTTTGAATGATTTAGGCTTGAAATTTTAATTTAAACCTTTTTTTTTTTGGTCAGTAAATGGAATGAATGAAGAATTAGGAGCATGTTAACATACAAGGAAAAGGAAAGCTTTTGCTATTTTTGTATTCTTGAAACAGTTTATGTGGCAGGGGAATTCCCTGTTTCTTGATGGTCTAAAATAACTGGCAGTATTTATTTTGCCTTTTCTTGTTAAAATGATTTTGTTATTCACTATCGGTTATTCCATGTCTTAATATCTAATTTTTCTTCATTTCTCATTTGAGGGGGTAACATTTCTTAATAGATATAAATACATACATACACATAAGTACATATACATACATATATACACACATACACACACATATATAATAATGAAAGTTAATATGTCTACCACTTTTGCCTTCTAAAATCTTTGCACATTGCTCTATTTTTTAGTGTTTCTGGGAATACCTTAAGGCCAGGCAGATGTTTATTTGGGTCAAAATTGGTATTTTCTCCTACTTGAAATATTTTTATTTCCCTAGTTTAAATGTTTTGTAAGAATGTGGTCAGGTTTTGCTCATTTTCATGGAATTTGCCTATAATGTGGCAATCCTCACTTATGTTTTTCTCTCTGTTATCCTTGAAGTCTAGGTAGAGGTTTTCAGGTATTTCATCCAAATCTGTTAATTGGATTTTCCACAGTTTGAATTCCACCTCTTTTAGGCCTCCAATATGGGCTTTAAATGCTATCTTGAAATAGAAAAGAGATATGCCTTAGGTACATGTGTCTGTATTTGCTGTACTACCTCATTTATTGATTACTGCCAAATTTTAATGAGCATTATTATCTGGAACTGCAAGTGCTGCAAGTTTGTTTTACTTCAACATTTCCTTGAATGCATTTTGCCTTTATATTTCCATATACACTTTTAGAATCAGCATGCTAATTTATACTAAAAACCCTGCTGTGATTTTTGTTTGAAATTGTACACAGACCTTCTGCATTTAATTGATTTACTGCTATACTGGTGTTTTATCTTTCATCTTTGAGTATACTTTTTTTTGGCAGCCTGGATATTACAAAATAAAAACTATGAACCAAATTATTACTTTTACTATTTTCTAATCCTCTTATGACTGGAATTATGTATATATTACCTATTGTCAACTCTGGCTTTATGTTAACCACCGTAAGTTGTAGTTATTATCATTTTAAACCTATAAAATGCTACTTCTAATGCCTGTGTAGTAAGTTTTATTTTGTATTTTCTCACATATTAACCTCTCCCACCGTTCTGAGAAGTCAGCTGTGCGTTTCACTTGTAAATTTATAAACAATACACCCTTTTTCCTCCGGCTGTTTTATTATTCTTTTCCTTGCTTTGATTTGCAATAGTTGGATTTTGTGTATCTGGGATGTGTGTGTGTGTGTGTGTGTGTGTGTGTGTGTGTGTGTGTTTTTCTTTTTCTTTTTATTTAAAAGCCCTGCTCAAGCTAGCTGAGCTTCTCAAATGTATAGTTTGACATTATTCATCAGTTTCAGGGAAATTCTTAGTCATTGTAAAAAACATTACTTTTAACTAATTTTCCCTGTATTACTCTGGGACCAGAATATTATGCTTTTTGATGATGTACTACATATCACCTCTAATATGTTTTGTGATGCTTTAAAATTCTTTTTCCTCCCTCTGTATTTCTATTTGTGTAGTTTCTATGAATCTGATTTCTATATCAATTCTGCTTTTTTTCTGCAGCCTTTTATTCAACACGTACAGAGTTCTTAATTTCAGGTGTTACTCTTCAGTTGTTAAATATGAATTCCATCCTACTTCATATAATCAAAATTTCTATAAAATTTTCATAGCTTTTCACTTATTTTGTGCTTCTTTTCCTATTTTCTTAAAAATAGTCATAGTAGTTATTTTAAAGTCTACTGCTACTTGCAATTATAATCACCTGTAGATCTGCCTCAATTTTTCTTTTGGTTTTCAGATAATCCCATCTATTTTCATGGCTAGCAATTTTTGGTAGAATGCCAGCCACGTAAAAAAATAAAAATAAAAAGCTACTTAGCCTTCAGCTTTGCCCAGACTGGCCAGTGGTCCCAAAGAGAAAGTGGTGGCAGATTTTCCACATCGCTTCGCTTCCTCACTCCCTCCAGGCTTGCAGTTCTCACCTGCGTGTCCAGTATCTCTTCTTCTCTTGGGTCCTTGTCTTGTGAGCATCCAAACACGGGGAGGAGGCAGGGCATTCCCTGCTGCTTTTCAGATTTTGTGGTTTAGCAATTTGGCCATCAGCCTACACAGCTTCAGAGTTTAGCAAATACCTGAAGGGAGAAACTGCCTTGTGTTTGAGCCCCGCCCCCTCACTTGTCTAACCTCTGCCCTGAGTAGCTGCCCTTTGCTCCACTCAACCCTGGTCTTGCAGCTCTGGCTTCTTCTCAAAACTGGCAGATGCAACTAGGGTTTCCAGGGATCCTGGGACTCTTCTGGAACCATGCCTCCCATCTGGAATTTTTTCCTCTTTTAGTTTTTGTTGCTACATCTATATCGATACCTATATGTGGGCAGGTCATATATTTGGGAATTTGTCCAGCTTTCAGGTTGTTCTCATTGAGAAGTTGGACTGAGTGGATCCTCCAACCCACTCGAAGCAGAAAACTTCAGTGTGGGTTGTAATTCTATTATTGTGCTTTTCACCTGCTGCCATCCTTTCTTATACTATACATATATACCCTTCCACTTCAGGGAAACATAATTAGAGGAGCAAATCTTTCATTTTTTTGTTTCAACAAATGTAGGTTATATAGGAAAATGATAATTTTCTCAAACTTATATGAACATGACAGTATTACATAAAACCACTTAAGGGAAATAATAGAAAAACAAGCTAAAGTTGAAAGATATGTATTTATATTAAGAATAATTTAAAAAATACTACACTTGGTCTTTTGGGCAAATTTTTCTAATGTTCATCAATATTTACTCTGCTCTTTGTGGACACACAGAAAAACTGCATTTCCTCAGCTCCTGTGAGAAGGTAATTATGGTCATGAGATATTCTTTGACAATAAAGTGTGAGCAACTGGACCCTGTGTCTTTTTCACTTTAAAGCATTTGATTTCTGGTGTTGGGTTCTTCACTTCTCTCTTTCTTTGTATGTCAAGATTTACACACATCATATCGAGGAGAAATGATGCTGAGACTCTTAAGAAAGAAAGCTCTACTTTTTGATGGGGTTGCTTGTTTTTTCTTGTAAATGTGTTTAAGTTCTTTGTAGATTCTGGATATTAGCCCTTTGTCAGATGGATAGATTGCAAACATTTTCTCCCATTCTGTAGGTTGTCTGTTCACTCTGATGATAGTTTCTTTTGCTGAGCAGAAGCTCTTTAGTTTAATTAGATCCCATTTGTCAATTTTAGCATTTGTTACCATTGCTTTTGGTGTTTTCGTCATGAAGTCTTTGCCAATGCCTGTGTCCTGAATGGTATTGCCTAAGTTTGCTTCCAGAGTTTTTACGGTTTTAGGTCATATGTTTAAGTCTTCAATCCATCGTAAATTAATTTTTGTATAAGTTGTAAGGAAGCGGTCCAGTTTCAGTTTTCTGCATATGGCCAGCCAGTTTCCCCAACACCATTTATTAAATGGGGAATCATTTCCCAATTGCTTGTTTTTGTCAGGTTTGTCAAAGATCATACCACCTCATGCCAGTTAGAATGATGATCATTAAAAAGTCAGTAAACAACAGATGTTGAGGATGTGGAGAAATAGGGAAGTTTTATATTGTTGGTTGGAGTGTAAATTTGTTCAATCATTGTGGAAGACAGTATGGTGATTTCTCAATGATCTAGAACCAGAAATATCATTTGACATAGCAATCCCATTACCAGGTATATGCCTGAAGGATTATAAATAATTCTACTATAAAGACACATGTACACTTATGTTTATTGCAGCACTATTCACAATAGCAAAGATTTGGAACCAACCCAAACGTCCATCAATGATAGACTGGGTAAAGAAAATCTGGCACATATACACCATGGAATACTATGCAGCCATAAAAAGGATGAGCTCATGTCCTTTGCAGGGACATGGATGAAGCTGGAAACCATCATTCTCAGGAAACTGACACAGGAACAAAAAACCAAACACTGCATGTTCTCACTTAAAAGTGAGAGTTGAACAATGAGGACACATGGACACAGGGAGGGGAACATCACACACCAGAGCCTGTTAGGGGGTGGGGGCTAGGGGAGGGATAGTATTAGGAGACCTACCTAATGTAGATGATGGGTTGATGCGTGCAGCAAACCACCATGGCACGTGTATACCTATGTAACAAACTTGCATGTTCTACACAAGTATCCCAGAACTTAAATTACAATTTAAAAAAAGAAAAAGGACATTCCACTGGCATGTCCTCTGGCCACACAAAAGGGTTTGTCTGAGCCAGAAATAAAACTTTTATTGTGTTAAGCTGACATGATTTTAGGGGTACCCATCAACTTAACAAAATCTCCTCTATCTCTATCGTGGCTGATATAATGTAACAACATACAAAAAAAGCCATTATTAAAAAGAGGATCAGGGTTACTTAAAAACCTTTCTAAATCTGTCCTACATTCTTCTATGCAAGATGAAACCATGATATTGATAAAATAGACATACGGGTGATGCTGTATTGAAATTGCAGTACATTTATGAGTTTGATGCTAGATTAGAGTCAGAGATATCTATCTATCTATCTATCCATCCACACACAGGATGATTTTTATAGAAATAAAAGTATGTGTATATTCATGGGTTATTATACATATATATATATATATATATATATATATATATATATATATATTTCTTTGTCTGCTGAGGATCCTAGAAGCACTAATAATTCAGAAGCAATTAAAATAGCTAGTACCCAGATCTTTTTAGGTGCCATTTACCTATACTAAAAAACAGGGTTTTCCGAATAACTTAGTCTGGGTTTGAGGTATAGAAAATGCAAGAAAAGCCTGAAGCATCTTACAGGGATAGGAAAGAAGTGAAAGAGAAGGAAAGAAAGAAAGAAAGAAAGAAAAAGAAGAAAGAAAGAAAGAAAGAAAAAGAAAGAAAGAAAGAAAGAAAGAAAGAAAAAAGAAAGAAGAGAAGAGAAGAGAAGAGAAGAGAAGAGAAGAGGAAAGGAAAGGAAAGGAAAGGAAAGAAAGAAAGAAAGAAAGAAAAGGAAAGAAGGAAAGAGAGAAAGAGAGAAACAGAAAGAAGAGAGAGAAAGAAAGGAAGGAAGGGAGGAAGGGAGGGAAGGAAGGAAGAAAGGAAAGAAGGAAGGAAGGAAAGAGGGAAGGAAGGAAGAAAAAAGGAGGAAAAGAAAAGAGAAAAGGAAGGAGGAAGAAAGAAACAAGGGAGAGAGAGAATGACATGTCAAAAAAAAAAAAAAAAAAAAACTTCATATAAATATCCTGAAGGAGTTCCCAATGGCAGAAGTTGAAAATATTTTAATAAGTACAAGAAAAATTATGAATGTATTGGATTATAACTGAAAAAATTAAATATTCACAAATTTATGCTAATAAAAATAACTGATTAAATACATAAATAAGGGAAAGTGGGCAAATCGTCCTTACAGGAGGATTCCCAAGAATAAATGTAGATGTGAGGGAAATACAAAATTGCCATTAGCAACCATAGTAACATTTTCTGCAGGCAAGATCCACCAAATAATGTTAATGTTACTGGGTGACATTTTAAGGAGAACAAGAGTATTTGCATAGCCTCAAAATGTCTCCCCAGAAGCATGTATTAATCACTGTGGTGGTTTTATCTTATTGCCACAAGTATGTGCACAAGTCCCTTCCACAACTGGCTTATGGCATCCTTACTGCGGCACGAGAAGATTCACGAGAAATGTTTAGAGAAGAAAGTTTAGATTATAAGAAACGTTCAGAGCTGGGAGTTTTAGGAGATCCTTGTCCTCAGTTTAGAAAATCTGAAGAGACCTGGTCTGGGCCAGTTGGTAGAAAAGCGAAGCAGATTTATTAAAGAAGTGGAGCCTTCCAGGGTGACGTTGGCATTAGGGTGGGTGTATAGTCGTTTGAGGAGAGAAGCACATTCTGAAGCAATGTCATGAGCAAAAGATGGGAAAGGGATCATGCTGAAGCCATGAAGCAGGCCAGTTTGAGTGGACAAAAAATATACAAAAAGAAATAAATAGAAAGTAAGTTTGGAAAGGTAGATAGAGAGTCTAAAGGGCTGTAAGAAGCTTCTCCTATTAGATGAGCCGTAGGGAGCCATGAGAGCCTCTAGCGAAGAGAAGTGCTCATTTCTGAGCTCAGAAACATTCCCTCAATGTTAGCTATTGTAGGGACTAGAATGTTTTTTCTCTCAGTGAGGTGGATGTGGGGCAGGATTGGGAGGAGTTCTGCTTAGTGTTTGACGGGACCACTTTGGCTGTTGTTGAGAATGGAGCACAGCCAGGGAAAAGCAGGGCCACCAGGTAGAGGAAAATTATAGAAATACAGGTGAGAGATGATGGTACGGTGTGGTCCCGTGTCTTCAGGGCGAGGTGGTGACTAAGTGTGTCTGAGTCATGCCATCTGGATCATCTGTGTGACCTGAAGTTGGGATTATTCTTTGATGACTTCAGAAGAAAGTCCAAATAGCTTAGCTCTTCAAGACCTGGTCTTAATTTCTTTTTTCCAGTCAAATCTCTCATCTCTTCCCAAAAACAAATCCTGAAGTTAAGCCATGCCAAAAGCCCAAGGTGGTCTTTGTACACTGCCCAGGGATTTCTTTCAGGAGGAAAACGCCCTCTTCCCTTTACTAAGGAACTCTCACTCATCTTTCCATTGTCCTGTCCTTTCCAAAGCCTTCTCTGACATAGCCTTGGCAGAGCCAGGTGCTGGCTCTCCCTGTGATCCTGAAGCATTATTGCTATAGCCCACATTCTGAGAACAGCACATGCCATAGTATAACCTGAGCATTTTCATCTGTATCCATATGGCAATGGCTGCACTAGACAGGAAGGGGCAGAGCAGTTTCACACTCTTGTTTTTCTAATTCTGTCTGAAATTTGCATGACATTTCTCCTTGTTCAAAATAGTTCATCTCCTTGTTCCTGATTAGGGATTTATTCTTAGTCACGTCCTTGATTATGAAAGACTATGCATAGAATTCTCCATTCTGTCTTTTGGAAATATATATGGCCCAGGGAGCTAATTTTCTGTAAATTACTTTATTTGATTTACCGTTTTTGAAGGCATTTTAGTAACATGCATCTGTTGAGGTCCTTTACACAGACAACACGTTCTTCAAAGCATCACTTCCTCTTTAGAAACCCAAAGTTGGAGGGCAACTGCAGAATCACCGCTTTATCCTTGACACTGTGCGGATACTCCATTTAC